ACCAATATCATCTTAGTTTCTCCAAATTAACTTGGGATATCAAGATAAAAAAAAGGTATTTTTTATTTGTGTGTGTGTGTGTACTGTCACTAAAATTGGTATGATCTTGAGTCAAACAATTTGTCCACATTTACTCTCTGGTAACATGGAAATAATAACTGGTTATGTGCATTTACAGGTTTGTTTTGTAAGCCAAATGATTTGTGATGACATTAAGTAGGTAAAAACACTACATTCAAGAGGACCACTTGACAGAAGCCATAAGTTACTGAATGGGAGACACTGTAAATGAAAAAGAAAAATACAAAAGGAAAATAAAGTAGTCAATCTTTCTCTTAGACTGGCTATTTTGTTTTGTAATTTTGCCCTTGTGACCTTCTTGAAATATTATTGATTTTTCTTAGATAACTGATAGGAGAGATGTAAAAAGAAGAAAAGCATTTCAAAAGGATTTACTCAATTTACATACTATCAAACTCATCGTGGCTCTTGGGGTTAAAAACAATGCCCAATTCTTGGAGAAGATAGTTTTCTTATTATTATCACTGACAATAATGATTTTTCCATTTGAAATTTTGGAATTCTAAACTATAATATTAGCTTAAAGTATATAATAAAATGAGCTTTCTCCTTAACTAAAGTTAGTTTATATCTCAAAGGAAACATTTATTTTGTATTTTGTCATTGAGATTTCAAATATTTCCAAGGGGTAGTTTTTACTAAAGCTCATTTCAATTTGTGGACTCCTGGGTAAAATGTACTGTTTCCATATTACCAAAATTAGCATTGAGAATTTCTCCCTTTTTTAAAATCTATTTTTTGTGTGATGCAAACAGATCCATGTCAGTAGCTTCTTCCTTCTAAATGCTGACATGTCAGTTATAAAATGACAAAAATATGCCATGTATCTAAACAGATGCCATTATGCACTTCTCTTACAAGTTATTATACAAATGAAACACACACACACACACACCCCACACACACAACACACAACAGTTTTGTAGTTGCTGACACAATTATTTGATTATCTTCTATACTTTCTGGTATAGTTAATGACAAGTTAATTTTTTCTGTAAAATCTCACATTCAAGAGACTTCTCTCATTGAATTCTGTGACTGATTATTGTGAGAATGGGTGGATATTCTTTAAGCAATAGGATAATTCATGAATGCCCTCACTTAAACACATTTCTTTAGGTTTATTTTGTGATAAATTATGGACATATAATATTGGTGCACTGTCTGAGGTAGATATATTGAAAGTTAATTTATGGATCCATTTGTTCTAGGTAAACATAAAACATTTGAGAATGGATTCTTATTTGGATTAGAGGTTCAAAGTAAAGTGAGCAAAGTAAATGTTAGAAAGCTAGAAAAAATGTCAAGAACAGAATCTGTCTCTAAATAAACCACTAGACTTTCAATAGAAGATACACTGGCCAAATATGTGCTAGGGATTACAGATTATTTTACATGTATGCATATAATATTTATAGACATATACTACCCTACCACCTTCCATAGGATTGGGCATCATTCCTATGTTTAAAAAACCAACAAAAAAAAAGACACAATACAAAACCTTTTATGTTGTTGTTGTTTTCACTCACCCAAAGTTATTATAAGGAAAATGGAAATGAAAATAATTATATTTTTGATTAGATATTGAAGGCTTAACAAAATACATGCATATAAAACAGATCATAACATTAACATATACCATTTTTTAAATGATAAAAGCATTAAAAAAAAACACAGTAGAATTTGGGATTCCAGTGTTTAAATTAGGTTCCAAATCACTGCAATGAAATATTGAATAAAAAATATCACTTGAAGAGAACTGACAGAATGGAGTTAACAAAAAAGAAAAAATGGATTTTCAAAATGAAGACTACATTGAAGTAATACCAGAGAAATAAAATTCATAGATACAATTTTAAGAGCAATATAACATGGAAAGACATAAAATACAAAAAAATGGAAAACAAAATGAAGAAAGTCTTGAAAATTCCACTAAAATATAGCTTTAAATGAAAGACAAAGAAGATCTAAGATACGGGCAACAATAGACACTAGGAAGGAAAATTATGAAAGAGACCAAACTAAACTAAAAACTGTAATTCAAGAAAGTTTCACTGAGAGAAAAGTAGCCTTGAAGCTCTACATTGAAAAAGGACACATTGTACTAAGCTATCATTTGAAAATTCCAAGTAGAATATACGGAGGTACAGGAACAGAAGTAATCAGACACTCACTAAAACTGGAATTTAGTTCTGTCCTGAACTGCTTCATGGTGAGCCATCACTAAAGGACAGTAACAACTAAAGTTTCTATAATTTTTTTTATACAATAAAGACATGGACAGTGTAAACAACAAAATTAAAAATCTTGACCTGCTTATCTATAATAATAAAAGGGTAATATGCTAATTAGACCAGATGTCCTTCTGGATGACATTCCGGACATCTTCCTGATGAAGCCAGGGCCCAAGGAAAGCAGCCCAGGTCCCAGGTGCCTTTCTGGTGGCCGGAGGAGGGAAGCCCAGGTCCCAGGTGCGGAGGGGTGCCCGAGGGAAGCCGGTGCCAGCAGCCAGGGGAAGGAAGGCCTACTCTTGCACGAATTTTCGTGCATCGGACCTCTAGTCTTGTATAAAACTACACTCAAACATTTACAAAGGAGACATTTGTTAGGTAAATATGAAATATTTACTAAAATGGACCATGTGGTAAGGCAACCCCCACCAACTACAGGAGATTTAATTAATTTAATATACTGTATATTACCACAGTGGAATTTGGCTTGAAAAAAAATGATTTCCAGTGTTTGGAAATTAAATGAGGAATACAATCTAAACACAACATAGATAAAAGAAAAACATGCTATGAAAACTAGAAAATATTTTCAGTTAAAATGATAATAAAGTTGCAAAATACCAAAATATCCAAAATGCTGCTAAATTGATATAGCTCCAAAATCATACATCAAAAGGTGAAACTGAATGACCTCCACATTCATCTCATGAAAGAAAAGGCCCTATAAATCAAATCCTTGAAAAGAAGAAAGGAAATAATAAAGATAGGGAAGAAAGCAAAAATAAAAATACAAAATTGAGAAATCAATGAAGTCTAAAATTGGTTATTTTTAAAGATCAATAAACTTGATTAAACTCTTGTATACTGGTAACTGATCAAGAAGAGAGAATATTGTTAGGCCCATGCCTACAGGAATCAGGCCAAGAGACCTTGTGAGAGTTTAAGAAAAAAAATTTTTTTTGAGTTTAAGAAATTTTATTGCATTCTCTCACAGCATGCTAAGACCAGTGTGTCTTATCAGCAGCGATGGAGTGGTTATGTTCTCTTCTTACTCAGTCAAGGTGTGGGTGCACGAGCTGGTCAGCAGAGGGAGTGCATCTTATCTTGCTTCTGTGGGTGCCAGTTCTCTGCCTGAAGCCAAAGGAAAAAGCTCATAACAATATATTTCAGACAACATGTCCAGACAGGAGAGGTCAAGGGTAGTTCATTCTAACAAATCCATACAAATATTATAAGGAATGGAAAGAGAAACCTCACTAAACTTCCTATAGACATTAAGAAATACATATAATAAGAAAATATCATGAACATATTTATGTTATTATATTTAACCATTTAAATGGAATGGAAGATTTTCGTGAAATAAAAACTTACTAGAAAAAAAACAGATTTAAACATTATTACATTAATTTTTAAAATTAAAAATTATTTTGCATCAATTAAAATAATCACTCTCTTACTAAAAAACTTCCCAAAGAGAAATCTTTGTCATCTTAATCTTTCCTGACATCTTTTTCCAACATTAAAGTTGAAATTAGCATCAGTTTTACTCTAAATCTCTAATACATTATACAAAATAGCAAGCACTTCCAAACTAGTTTTGCAATATTGATTTATCATTAAAAATCACTTATTGCAATTAAATACATTAATAGAAAAAAATGAGGAAAAATATGTAGTTTTTTGAAAAAATCTTTATTGTTGAAAGTATTATATATGTCTTCTTTTTCCCCCTATTGACACCTCTAGCCTGTCCCCACCCCTTGCCCAGGCCTTTACTACACTATTGTCTATGTCCATGGGTTATTATATACTAGAGGCACAGTGCACAAATTCGTGCACGGCTAGGGTCCAGCTGGCCGCTGTTCAAATCGGCAGATCTGGTCCGGGCCTGTTGGGAGGAGGAGACTGGTGGGAGGTTGGCTGACTGGCCCACCCTGATTGGGGCCCAATCAGGGCTGGGCCAGCTGGGTGGAGGGGCTGTGGGTGGTGGGCCGGCCGGCCCCACCCCTGAATGGGGAGGGGGAGGTGATTGGAGGCCAGTGGCCTGGGGTAGGGGCCATGGGTGGTTTGCTGGCCAGCCCTACCCTGATTGGGGTGGGGGGCCAATCTGGGGTGGGGCCAGGCAGAAGGAGGGGCCGCAAGAGGTTGGCCGGTTGGCCCCACCTCTTGATTGGGCCAGTTCGCTGGCCACAGTGGGCATCATAGTGACCAGTAGTTAAGGTGTTCTGGTCGCTGGATTTTTATATATATATATATATATAATAGATAAGCATACAAGTTCTTTGGTTGATCACTTCCCATGCATCCACCCACCCCCACCTTCCCTCTGAGATTCCACAGTCTATTCCATGTTTCTGTGTCTCTGGATCTATCTTGTGTATCATTTATTTTGTTTTTAGATTCCACATATGAGTGAGATCATGTTATTTATTAATGTGAATAAAGAGGGCCTTTTAGAGAAGATTAAAAGTTCAACAATTCTACACTGTGCTTGATAAAGTAAGTTAGTGGCTTTGGTAATTGTGAAGAATAGCTGAGTCACATACATCCCTTAAGAAAGTATTCTTTCTATGAAAAGCCAGAGGGTGAAGATAATTGATATAAAATACAAAAATACTTCCAAAACAAAGTGAGAAAAATATCTGGAAAATTAAATGTACTCAAAATTATATTCTTTCCCTAGCCAGTTTGGCTCAGTGGATAGAGCATCAGCCCACAGACTGAAGGGTCCCTGGTTTGATTCCAGTGAAGGGCATGTCCCTCAGTTGCAGGCTTAATCCTCAGCCCTGGTCCAGGAGCATGCGGGAGGCAGTCAGTTGATATCTCTCTCTCACATCAATGTTTCTCTCTGTGTGTCTCTCTCATTCCCTTCTACTCTCTAAAAATCAATGGAGCCCTAGCCAGTTTGGCTCAGTGGATAGAGTGTCAGCCTGCAGACTGAAGGGTCCCGGGTTTGATTCTGGTCAAGGGCACATGCCTGGGTTGTGGGCTCAATCCCCAGTAGGGGGTGTGCAGGAAGCAGCTGATCAATTATTCTCTCTCATCATTGATGTTTCAGTCTTTCTCTCCCTCTCCCTTTCTGAAATAAATAAATAAATAAATAAATAAATAAATATTTTTTAAATTCAATTTGCAAAACTATTTGAGGAGTAAGGTACAATGGTGAAGGAATTCCTCCCTATAGGTACATTGGCATTCCTGGCAGGCATAAACATAGAGCACTGGAAAATCTACTAGGAGCAGGGACTTGTCAGCTGAAACTTGAAGAATAAGTTGAAATTAGTAGGCAAATTTGGTGAAGGAATGTGTCCCATGCAGATAAAAAAAAAAAACTTTCATAATACACAACCTTCTTCTTCTGTTATTTTAAAACTTTTTTATTGGATTAGGACCCATATAGGACAGATCCTAGCATGCGTTAACTGATTAGTAAGTGTTAATTTGACCTTTATCGCCATTAGTGTCTTCATCATTAAAACCCTTTGTATCTTTAAGCAGAAGGAATGCTAACATTTCAGAATTCTTTTGACAATGGGATATCACAAGTAAAAGGTACAAGGAATATTTACCATTTTCATAGGATGACATATATAGTAAGAGAAGTGTGACTATTGCAATGAATAGCATAGTGATCGTTAGGTCTTTGTATGGAAGTAATCAAGTATTAGAGAGTGTACTGTTGAGGAGTGCCTGAGAGCCTGGAAATGCAGCCTGAGAAAGGTCTTGGGTCCTGAGTCGCCTGCCCATTTACCTGCATTGTAATTTGTAGGAATAATTCCATTTTTATATGTTTCAATATATTTAACTATAGCATGGGTGTAATGATAGTTCATGGGAAATTAAATAGTCTTGCAGGTTAAGTGGGATCACTTGTGTAAAGTTTAACTCAGTGTCTGGTACATAATTTGTCTTGAATTGTTAAATTGTTTTTACTTTTGCTTTTCCTCCACAAAGTTCAAATAAGTCAATCCAATGACTAAAACTATTTCCAAGAATATTATTGTTCTCCCATATTAAACAGGAATAAAACTATATTTTAAGCAGCACACATTTATTGCTCAAAGTTCTGAGGCTGGAAGTCCAAGATCAGGTGGCCACCACGATCAGGTGAGGGCCTTCTTTTGGATTATACACTTCTGTCGTTTCCTCACATGGTGAAAAGATGAGGGATCTGTGTGATCTCTTTCTGTACACTAATTCCATTTATGAGGGCTCTGTCCTCATGACCTAAGCAACTTCCAAAGATCTCACCTCCAAATACTGTCTTAGGGGTTAGGATTTCAACATATGCATTTTGAGGGGACAAAAACAAACAGTAGCTACTAATCCTATATAATCCTATATAGTAATCCTATCTAATAAAGAGGTAATATGCAAATTGACCATCACTTGGACACACAAGATAGCCGCCCCCATGTGGACACAAGATGGCCACCACAAGATGGCCAGCAGGGGAGAGGCAGTTGGTAGGGACCAGGCCTGCAAGGGAGGGCAGTTGGGGGTGTCAGCTCAGGGCATGGGCGCCAGGCTGCAAGGGAGGGCAGTTAGGGGTGACCAGGCCAGCAGGGGAGGGCAGTTGGGGGCAACCAGGCCTGCAGGGGAGGACAGTTAGGGGTAATCGGGCTGGCAGGGAGCAGTTAGGCGTCGATCAGGCTGGCAGGGGAGTGGTTAGGGGCTGATCAGGCTGGCAGGCAGGCAGGCAGGCAGGCACGAGCAGTTGGGAGCCAGCAGTCCTGGATTCTGAGAGGGATCCCAGATTGGAGAGGGTGCAGGCTGGGCTAAGGGATACATACCCCCGCCCCCCTCCATGCATGAATTTCATGCACTGGGCCTCTAGTCTGGTGGCAGAAGCAGATATGGCCCATCCCACATTTCTTATTATTTTGTGACATCCCCAGTGGCCCAGAGTTAAGATTAGTCACTAACTCTGAATCACATTGTGTTCCCTGGTACTGAGAGTCCTGATGGAAATGGGGCAGCTGGATCAATGGGAAAAAAACAAATGATGTTTCTGCAACCATCCTTTAGGTTAGATAATGTTTTCAGTATACTAGTACACATGCTTTATAAAGAAGGGTAAAGAACATGTGTTTTTTTATTTTTATATGGACTGAAGAGATGGCATTTCTCTGTTGGTTATTCTAATTTATACGGGGGGGGGGGAGGTTGGCTTTATCATATTATAAACTACAGATCACTTTGTGGCTTCATTTCCAAATAAAAATTCTGTTTGATTTCACAGCCTCTTTTCTAGTTTAGTTCCTTGACATCTCTCACCTGAACAGAGATTGCTTTCGGAGCTCACCACTGCAATGAGTAATGCAGGCAACCATTATAGCAAGTTCCCTATAATTCAATTAGTATTCGTGTCATCCTCTTGTTCAAAAACCTTCAAAAGCTCCTCAAATAAAATTTGTGTTTTTTAGCCTGACATTTGCAGTCTTTCCAGGTTTTGTTATAGCCAACTGGAATCCTCATTATTTTCTTATCCTACGTCCAATGGCACAGCCACATGATTCAGTTCATTCAAAACACTATTATTTTTCTACTTGCACATGCTGTTTTTGCCACCACACAACTTGCACTTTACCTTTCTCTGTGAATAAATACCTTTATCTCTAACGATTGCAGGTTTATTTAAAAAACACACAACAATAACAACAACAAAAAACAGGCCCATATCATCTTGGTACATGTTGCCCTGACTCTCACAGTGAAAACATATACTGTTTTCTCAAAATTGAATTTCTAGCATACCATCTATTTGTGTAACCAGATTGCTACTTTTTGGTTTAAATCGCCTTCTTAATTGTAAATTCCTTAATGTTATAGAACTAAACTCTTTAATCTTAGTAGTAGCACCAGTTTTATAATATAAAATGCAAGTATTGCCCATAGCAGTAATTTTATGAAAAAGAAAGATGACCATTTGTAATGAGTGCTGTTTCATACTATACATAGTATATTTAGACTAAATAATTTAAATTTTACTTAAAAATCATCTCAGCCCTAGCTGGTTTGGCTCAGTGGATAGAGCGTCGGCCTGCGAACTGAAGGGTCCTGGGTTTGATTCCCGTCAAGGGCACATGCCTGGGTTGTGGACTTGATCCTCAGTAGGGGGCATGCAGGAGGCAACCAATCAATGATTCTCTCTCATCATTGATGTTTCTATCTATCCCTCCCTCTCCCTTCCTCTCTGAAATCAATAAAAATACATTTTTTAAAAATCATCTCAAATATAACTGTACATCGTTGAATCCTACTGGTTTAAAGAGATTAGTAGTTCCTGTCCAGTCTAAGCACAATACTAATTATGTCCAAAAAACAACTTACTACTGAACACTGAGAAGGATTACAGAGACTCTGAGGACATTAACATAAAAAAAACTTTATTATCACTATTGTAAATATTTTAAACTATACTTTTAAGCTTTAGATTATAAAAGTAAATGCATTTTTTAAAAGGTTTATGGAGCAATAAATATATTTGACCTCTTGCTAGTTTAATAAGTTGCAAAAATATATATCTTATTCCCTTGGCTTGATTTTGCATATCTCAAATTCATCAATATGATAGGAGCATTTCTCATAGGAAAGAGCACTGTTAAGGTCTCAGTTAAATCAATAAAGTTGAGCTTTGAATGAAAATGATATATGCTCACATTTCTGAGTCAAATATACTATTGAAGTATAAACTTCAAATAAAATGAAGGAATAAAATTATAAGAAACTGTACTATGTGGTTCAAGGATTCTCTGTTTCAATATTTTAAGATGTTAGAATGTCCAGATTATTTTGAAATGCTTGAAAAATGTGTTACTCAGATTGAATTATTAAAGTTTGCAAATATTTTACCTTTTAATAAATAAAAACAGCTACTGCCATTCAAATGCATAACTTGATTGAATTTCAAAACAAAGGATTGTATTATTGGAGAGGAAGAATTATTAGTAGCCTTCAGTATACTATAATAAAAAGATTGTTGAGAAACATGAAAACACTGCTTTTTTAACATTTTAAGTGTGGATAAAAATAAGTTTATTATACACATGTAGTTGAAACTGCAGCCAAAGCTTAATATATCTTTACCTTGAGAAGGATGATTTGGATAAAGCCAGATTTAAACCAGGAATTTAAGAGAATTTAAAAAATTTTGATAGGTGGAAGAACATGTATATACATCATGTCCTGGCATGACCACAAACAAACTTTTATTCCTACTACTAGAGGCCCAGTGCATGAATTCATGCACAGGTGGTGTCCCTTAGCCTGGCCGGTGATAGGGGCCAATTTGGGCCAGCTGGCTGAGGGGAGGGACCGTGGGAGAGTGGCCTTGGGTGTGCACTGACCACCAGGGGCAGCTCCTGCATTGAGCATCTGTCCCCTGGTGGTCAGTGCGTGTCATAGCTACTGGCCAGTTGTCCGGTCATAATGGTCACTTAGGCTTTTATATATATAGATATTTATCATTATTTGGTGGAATAAAAAATAAGTCTATATGTTAATTTTGTCATGTTTTACAAAATATGAGTGGTAAGTTTAAAATAAAACATTTTAAAATGGTGATTTAAAATAAATGCAGGATAAGTTAAGTTATAGGAACCAAATAAGAAGAAAGTAAATATATTAAGCACACTGGAATTCATCGTTGTGGCTCAGCTTTAAATTTAAATTTGATTTTCTAAGGAATTAAATGGAAATTAAAAATTTTTTTTAAAAAAATTGAGCGATAAAATGATGGGGAGAGGAAGGGAG